CAGAGCAAAACCAGCGCAATATGCCCCATAACAAGCCCAGTAATCGCCCCTGTATGCTGAGAGAAACAAAAACCAGATCAAAACAAATTCCACGCAGCGCTCTAAAACAACCTCCGTAAACCTCTTCGTGGATTCACCTCCGCTTTTAAATCGCTGCAACCGGTGTGTTGAAGCATCGGCGTTACATTACCCCCGCCATGGCGCTGACGAAGGGAGCCCTTCGCGTCGGACCTTCGCGTCTGGCCTCTTCATGGTAACCTTGAATCGAACCCTGGAATGTGGCTGAATTCGGGGCCTGGGTTGGCAGGCTGGACGTTAGGTAGGTACGTAGGTAAGGAGGGAGGGAGGAGGTTTGGTCGGTAGGTAGGGAGGAGGTTCTCTCGCCGCAGCCACGCGGGCAAAGGTTTCCGTCCAAGTGCACTGAGAAGCGAGGCGCCGAAAAAAGTGGATCGGGCTATTGGGCTTGCTTGTAGTGGGAGACAAGTACGTGGAAGGTGCTTGCATTTCCTGGGAGACGCTTGGAATTTATCGTTATTTTGTTCTGGAGGGCAACTGCAATTAAGGTCGACCTTTACATTTGCTTGTACTTAATGCATGGAGAAGGAGACGTGACAGACCAACAGAATTATGGAGGGAAGAGAAAACAAAGAGAGAGAGAGAGAGACAGAGAGAGAGAGAGAGAGAGAGAGAGAGAGAGAGAGAGAGAGAGAGAGAGAGAGAGAGAGAGAGAGAGAGAGAGAGAGAGAGAGAGAGAGAGAGAGAGAGGAGAGAGAGATCCTTCTCGAAAGGAGAAATAGAGCTAAAAAAAAAACATTTTCCGTCCCGCCTCCCAGCCGAGCATCGATGTTCTCTCTGCTCTTCACACTTCACACTCCATGGTTTCCGAGGCCGAGACTCCCCTTTTTCCTTGACAGAATCCATGCATTTGTTAAGGGTGTGCTTTTGTTGACCCGGAGTGACTCAGCAACAGGGCAGCATTGCAGTATGCGGCCAGTGACGGCTTTGTTTATTTTTGCATACATAATCACCATCTTTACTGTTAATATAATCTTCAGCACATCTTTAGCAGAAAAATTATACAATAAAATATCAGTGATAGAAAGAACCAAATGAGAATAAAAATGATAATGACCGAAACAATAGCCAAATTACATTTAATACAAAAAAAAAAAAAAAATGAACAACTGAATGACTCTTCACAAGTGATTCGTGGGATCATTCTAAACCAAGCAATTAAAAGAACTTATTAAAATAAAACATTTATTTATATATACATATATATATATATATATATATATATATATATATATATATATATATATATATATATATATATATATATATATATATATATATATATATATATATATATATATATACACACACACACACACACACACACACACACACACACACACACACACACACACACACACACACACACACACACACAAAGACTTGGCAAAGGATGCGAAGATAACGTATTCCAGAGTCCAAAGATCTGTGCAAATGCTGGATTCCTTGGATCTTTTTTTTTTATTCTTATATCCTCTTCTTATATTTTCATGAAAGAAAATCTTAATAAAGATTAGGAAATAATTGCCATCCATCGCGAGAGCCAATAAGCATGGACTCGTTATAACTTTCACATGTGAAATTATGTCTCCATATACTAGATGTATTTTGAACTCATAGCATGTGTCCTCTCATGTGACGCCTTTCGTCTTCTACTACGGGATACTAACGAGGGCCAGATTCGCCTTTACGTTAAAAGATTGCAGGCCTAGAAAGGACGCCTATTCATACTAACGACACGAGACTTCCAACGCCGTTACTCTTCTGATTAAGACAACAAGCATCGCATCACAAGTGCCTTTTCTTCGCGCTCACGAGACCCTCATCGAAAGAGCTCTGATGTTAAAACAAAGGCCCGCGGACGGCGGCGGATTCTCCCCCTAACGCCCGCAGACCGGAAGGGCGAGCGGGTCTCACCTGGCGCGTTATTCGGCCGTAATGAGTGGCGGCAGCAAGGAGACCGGACGTGGGACGCCCTTGGGAAACATTCCCGAGGGGCGTGGGCTGCTGCCGAGGCTGCCGGTGGGTTGCGATGGAGCGTCAGTGATTTGCTGGTGAGCAGACGGTGGTCCGCTCGCGGGTGTCAAAGGGACGTCGGTGTGCCGCAAGTGGGCGGCTGCGGTGCGTCGATGGGTCGCCGGTGGGTCGCTCCTGCCTCGCTGCGACACCGGGAGGTGGATGTTCTCTACGGACGGCCAGCCTTGCACGACCTTCTGGTCGAGCGCCTGTCGATCTGCTCCCAATGATCGCCAGCCACGGCATACGAGCCAGCAGGACGACCCGCGCGCAGGGGAGCAACATTCCGACAGGCGTCATTTCGCACGCCACCACCTCCAGGAACCGCGCGGCAGGATGGGCAGGATTCCCCTGCTCTGCCCTACAACCTGAAGCCGCTTCATCTCAAGCTGCAGCTCCGCCTCACTAG